AATAATTGCTTACTATTCAGCCACAGCCGCCGCTGCTCCATTTCCCCAAGGAATGGGAATATTTTTCAAATTATGCACTTCAATTACAAGGGAAATATTTTCCAACCAGCTGTTCCAACAGAAAGGGCCGCAAATCTAGGCATCTGACGTAGGAAACGCCACTTTGCCCCATTCGAAAGGCGAGGATAAAAGGTCGGAACACCCCGAACACACAAACCCGAACCCCGAACATTAAACCCAGCCCAACGCCACCTCATGACGAAGCAGTCGAGAGATACACGAACGAATTCCGGCACGTCCTTAGGCAACAAAAACAAAAATTGTATTAGGTTATCCTTGCCACACTCGCATACACACAGGCAAACACACCCATTGTGGGCCGAAAATGGGGCGGGTGGGTTGAAGTGGAAGGCAAATGGCCTTTCACGGTCGTTGCCGTCACACACTCACTGTTGCTGTGGCCCTTGTTGTTGCTGCTGAACTGCTTTCAGCCACAGCAACAACCTCGGTGCACTGAGAGAAAATAATCATATAAATTGGTCGTCAATTTGGAGTACCATCTGTGGGTAATTTTAAAATATTTTTTTTTTTAAATTCTCTTATTTTATTTTTTTATATTTATCAATCCAAAAGAAATCTTCAGATTAAAAATGGAATTAAAGAACATTTTTTAAAAGGTTTTGAACTTTTAAGAGTTTGAAAATTTATGATAACGGCAAGTAATAATATTATCTTTCAGTGCATCAACAGCTCACATTGGCCACAGCCAACAAGGCTCGCTACCCGTGACACATCGGGTTGTTAAGGGGGCCAAGCTCACGTTTCCTTGTCACACCCCCCATTTTCCACCATTTCCACTTACTCCCCTCTCTTTCACTCCTTGTAGCTCTATCTCTTTCACTGGTTGCCTACTCATTTGTGTTAAACTTGTCGCCACCCAGCAGGGCTTCTTAGAAATGGATGATATTGTAAAGCTTTCCATAAAGCACATTTGTATTTAACAATATTTTAAAATATTTAAAAAAATCAGAAAAAAATTAAATTGAGCAAAAATAAAATATTACATAATTAAGTGTCCTTTTTAATATTAAAGTTTTGTTTCACTATATAAGGAAAATAGATTATGTTTGATATAAAATTATATGAGCATACAAACAAAAAAGAATATTAATTTAAAATTTAACATGAAACCATAAAAGGTGCGTGAGAATTATTGGATATAGGAACTCCTGGATAAACTTTTTTATCCATTGTGGGGTATCCTTGGGTCGCTTAATTTCCGGGAAATCCCCAGTGGTTGCTTGACTTGGTTTAATGCTCGCCTTTCTGTGGCAACTAACTGACGACCGCCTCGGCAACGTCATCATCCCCATTAACCAGCGCCCACCACCTACCACCCACAGCCCACTTACCACCCCCATCTTCATCATCATCATCGTTCAATGTTCGTTTTATTATGGTGGAGTGCTGCTGGCGTCGACGTCGCAGTCGCTGTCTCTGCCGGCAGCTGCCCCACAAAATATACAAAAAAAAAATAAAAGAAAAAAATCCAATGTGCGCCCGCAAAAGCAAATAAAACTTTATCATTTGGGGAAGCCCTGCGCTTTCATAGACTTGCCTTGAATGTGTGGGTGGTTTCTGTGTGTGTGTGAGTGTGCATGTGATGAAGAACTTTTCCCACACACACATGTATTTTTGCCAGCTTTTTCCTTTCTTTTTTCCCAGCTGCCAACTTTTCCCTTAATTTCTTGTTTTTATTTTTTTCTGTTTGTTATTGCCTTTTATATATGCTTATGTATATACGTTTTTCGCTCTGTGTGGCAGGTCCTTTCGCTACAGGTATGGGGTTTTATTTTGGCCTGAACTCATAGGTAAAGTTCGGGCCCGGATTTCGCTTCACGTTTATTTATTTTCCTTTTATTTTCATTCCTTTCCTTGTTTTCCTCCGTGTGTTTTTTTGGGTCTTTTTGTTGTTTTCCTCTCTGCCATGACCTTTTTAGTGGCCAAAAGGGGGCGGTAGGCGGGCAGGATGACAGTAGAGAGAATTTTCCGGGCGTGGCTGCCCACAACAGTTGCTTAAAAGGCGTCCCAGGAAAAAGCTGGAGTGGAGTGTTTGTTTATGGCTATGATATGGCCCCGAAAAAAGGGGGCCAGCCAATTTGGTAGAATGGTTTAGTTGTGACTCAGGAAATTGTATTCGTTTAGGAATTGTTGCGTGCCTGGAGGCAGATTTCCTTTTTTTTTTAATTAATGAGTTTAGGAAAGGTTAGTTAATGGATAAAGAGAAGAGATTTTTTTTAGGAAAATCCCCAAAAAGGGTTTATGCAAATAAATAATATGGTTAAAAAATTAAGCAAACATTAAAATACACACCCTCTTAGAATCCTGTATATTTTTACTGCATTTAAAAAAATATGAATACATTTTTAAGGCTGCATATGCATATTTCAAAAGCTTTTTCTTTGTTGCTACCGGCATTCTAAATTTAAATCACATCTTCGTTCCACTTTAAACACCTAATCCCGTATTACTAACGGAATCAGAGCAATCAACAAATGGAAACGGGCTCTATTATGGCCACACCTAGACCTACATAGGCGGTTACCTAGCACTTAAGGACTCCAACCCCAAAAAACCCATTGCCATTCCCACCTCACCTTCCTAGAACCCAAATCCCCCGCCCAACAAAATGAAAAGCAACCCCTCTGAAAGGCAAAAACTACGCAAACTAAAAGGCTTTTCTTTTTCATTCGAAATGGAAATGGAATGCGAACGGGCCAAAGCAAAGTTGCCAAAGGGAAACAGAAACAAAGGTAGCGATGGAATGAAAATACTCTGTAATAAAAGTGCGGCGAAATGCCAGCCGCAGGGAGAGGGAGTGGGTGGGATTTCCTCATCCAACTTCATATTCCCTCTCTAAACTCCCGAATCCCCCGCCATAAAGCCAAAGCCAGCTTAAGTGTTTCAGCCCAACTCCCCAACCTCAAAGCTCGAACTCAAAACCCATACCGTCCCCAAACCGAAACCAAAACCCATCGGCTGCTTGAGCTCAAGGCGTAGCAAAGGGAGACCCGAGCTCTTTGAACATGTTGCGCCTGATACAGTGGAAACTCTGTAATTACAAATATCTAATTTTTAACTTAATCCTTATTTAGAAAGAAATTTTTAATAAGAGGACAAATTTTTAAAGGTTTTTAAGGGATTAGAAAAGAGAAAAGTACTATTCGAAAACATTAGAAATAAATTAAAGTTAGTTTCCAAGAAAAAAATTTTTTTTAAAGAACAGTTACAAATGTTTAAATAAAAAAAATAGTTCAAGTAAGGTTCTCATTATAAATATATATAATTTTTTTGGAATAAATAAAACCCCGAATTGTAATTATTTATTATTTAAATTAATATTTTAATAATATTTTATTTATCTGAGTCGATTTGGAAATTATTTTTATAATGCCAAAATGGATTCATAATTATATATTTTAAAATTAATTTGTTGGTAATAAACATTTGTATTTTACCAAATACTATTAATATTTTTCCATTAATATCGAAACGAGAGTTTGTCATCTCCTTATGACGTACCAAAGACTAGGAATGTGCACTGTATCCGCCCAGCGAGGAATACTTGGCATATATCAAAAGGCAGGCAGCCCACTTGTATCTCATTTGGCAAAAGTATCTAAAAAAGCGCTGTGTGGGGAAGTGTGGTGAGGTATTCAACGAATACAACAAAGTATCTCTAGCTCTTTAATAGGTTCAAACTGTGGCATGAGTAACGCAGCCGAGAGCAACTTGACTAACAGGCCGCGGTGACGTGACGCAAAGTATCTTTGGGATTGCTATTGCGATTGTGCCTGTATCTTTATCTGTGACTGTGTATCTTTGTATCTGTGAGCTGCCTGTTGAGCGGGTGAGCAGCGCCAAAAGTTCATGACGCTGGTTGAGCTTGATTTTCTGGCCATTTTACATGGGGCGATTCCGACTGGCTGGCAAACAAGCTGCCTTGTTTGCGTCTGTTTTTCTGCTTTCTGTTTTCCCCGTTTTCTGTTGTCTGCTCTCTGCTTTCTGTTTTTCCGTTTCTGGCTTTTGCCCATTTCGTTTGTGTTTTTGTTTTTGTTTTGTTTGCCGTGGCCCGAGTGTACGTATGTTTGTTTGTTTGCTCGCCTGCCTTTTGTGTGCGCTGGGGGATTACGTAAGGGAATCCCCAACATTTTGCAGCGCGCGCGCCAACGCAACTGAATGGAAATGATAAAGGGGGTTGTGGGTGGTGGGTGGTTGGGTGACTGACTGGGCGTGGGCGCAATGCAATGAAAAGTGACTACTGACGCTGTTGTTTCATGTTTTATGCATGCCTCTCCCTCTCGCGAGCAAAGCACTCATGGCACAAATAATAATGCAAAAAATGTATCTTATAGATACAGATACAGCCAAGGGTTTCGAGTGGGGGCGTGGCTGACAACTACTTCCTTAATTATATATTTTTTCCTTTGACTCGTAATACAAAAAATCACTGCACTTGACGAGATTCTTTTCACATTGAAGAGGCAGCAATGGCTGCTTGATAAGGATATTAGTTTCCCGCCATATGGCAGCTGAGTAACTCGATGTCCTTGAGTTCTGCTAAGAAATCTGGTACTTTTTAATGCTTATTAAATATTTTCCAGTTTTTAAAAGAAGCCTTGTGTGTGTATTAAACCATTTAATTTGGTTTACAAAACATTTTTTCGATTTAGTCCACTAAAATATGGTTCTTTAAGAAAACTAACTTATTCGAGATTTTTGGCTGAAAACGTTAAGTTGAATATTCACATTTTAGCGTGAATTCTTAAGGCTTATCTTTCAAATTTGGTCCCCCGCCCTTGTAAAATACTTATCTTTATGGAAAGTTTTACAAAACAGCTCAACACATTTTAGTAAAGTCAAAAATTCTTGGAATTTCGCTGGCATATTTTGCGAGCTCAAGTTTGATTTGTAAATAATTAACAGGAATTTCTACTTACTGCCTCGACCGCTGCCCTTGCGTCGCGCCATTTTCCTTGCTTCTAAGTTTAGACTCCTGTTTTTTCGCTTATCCGTGTGTCCGTTTATCCGCTTGTCCGTTTGTCCGCTTGTCCGTTTGTCCCTGCTCCTTTTACATGGGACAACTGCTGCAAATTAGGATCCTTGCGCTTGACTGATGTATATTTAATCAGTGGCCGCCCAGCTGGCACGCCCGCTTGGGACACTGGTTTGTTTGTATGGCACAACAATGTGTGTGTGTGTGAGGGCGTCCTTGACGCACACAATGACAAACGTCCTTGTTTGTCCGAGAGTGTGTGTGTGTAAGTGTGTGTGTGGCCTGGTTCCCGGTTCGCTGGTATTTGCCAACTAGACAAATAGAGGAGCCATGATGTCCAAGTCTCTGGGTTTATCCTGATATGCCGCTTGCCTGTCGACCTGGTGGAGATTGCAACCCGCTGGCTGGCATTGCTCTGCTATCCTTTCTTCGAATCCTTGATTGCTGTAAATGTGCTATATAAATCCATATATGGGTATCCTCTCTTCGTTGGTGTAAAATATACTACGAAATGTTTCTTGTTTTTATTTTGATATGCCGTTTTGCTCTGTGTGTTGTGTTCCCCTTTTTTGTTGTGGTAGGTTTGTATTTTTGTATTATTTCTGGTGGACCCTGCGTATACGCAATATTCGAAACTAATTCGCGCGCGCGGCAAATTCTTTCAGAAATCAACGTTTAACGTGTTTTTTACGCTGCTTATCAACTAAGTGTGTATTTTATTGATGGTCTCACTTTATTTAATTTATTTTCTTTCGAAATATATATGCATTATATGGCTGTGGCGGAATTCTATTAATAAAACGATCGTGTATTCACCATGCGATTCGCGAATTGATTTGATTTTGTTGCTGGCTTTTTTGCGCATTTACCATTTACCGAGAATTGCGAGAAGCGCGCGAAAACGAGAGGCGACGATTGCTCGACGTTCACGGACAAACAGAAACAGAAAACAGAGCGAAAATCCGTTAGGCCCCCAAAACGCCAAGCATTGGGGTCCCCAAAATGAGCTCTCTTGCGACGCAGAAATGAGCTTGTAAGAGCGGCAGAGTGGGCTTTCAATTTGCTCCGCTTTCTGTTTCAATTGAAACGTTTGCCTTTCAATCTTTCTGTTTACCTTTTTTCTTTTCTCGCCCGAAGAGTAACGAAGAGAAGCAAAGAGAAGGCCTGTTTTGGCCAAGAGAAACCCGCTTATCAGTGGGCCACAATATTGTGTGTGACCAGAGCTTAAATGTCAATTGCAGAAGCTCTAGATAAGGGTTAATTCTTTGGCTTTCGGCGACTTGATAACTGACTAAACAGACCCCCATGTTTTTTCATTATAATTTATTAGTTTATCCTCACAGTTGATAAAGAAGATGGAAATGGCCAGACTCCTCCCAGCCAACTCCACATTGTCACCAATGCACGTCAACTGGTCCAACGTGATGGACGGGGTGACGGCCATCGCCCCTCGTCTGGCACCTTCCGGATTTGTACTAAAGTTGCCGAAGGATGTCGCTCGATGATCTCGTAGCCTTGCATACTATGCACTATGGGGCATTTGACCACTTTGGTTGGCCAAAACCCATTTTTTAAAAGTCGTTAAAACAAAAAATGTTGTTTGAGGATGTGTTAACAAAAGACCATTTAACAATGTTACGTTTACAGAAATCCGATAGAGGTCGCCTCTGTTAAGGTAGGAGCTGTTAAATCAGCTGTTCGATATGCAATTATCGAGCTGTTGAATTTCGACTTTTTGCTTGCAGTTTTAAAGTGCTTTAAATTTGAGTTTTTAAGCAATCTAAGTAAACTTTTTGGATTGGATTTAAAGGATTATGCTATTTACTAAGTATTTGTGTGGTTCGACGACAAAAATGAGACGGTTTTTTCTTACAAATGAGTGTTAAAGGGAGTGGTCTAACAAGTACATTTTTGTAAGAAAACTAATTTTCAAATGGAGCAACAAAGTGAGTCCAGCGGAGTCCACTTCTGGAACCTATTGGGATTTGTAGATTATTTAATTGTTGTTAAAATGTATATGGTCAGAATCGCCACTTATTGCCACTTTTTCTGTAATTTAATTTTTTAGACCATAACCTCAAATTTCACAAACTCCTATCGTTTGCACTGGTGGCTAAGGAAGTAAGGACTTTCGTGACTTTAAATTATTATCAAAATATAGTAGAAATACTTAGCTTTGTAATTGACTAACTTAAGTGGACTTTAGCGGCTTTAAAACGAAAGTTCCGCTACAACTTGAACAAAAAGTCGTACAAATGTAAAGTAAATTCTTGCATTTGCCCCTTTTTTTTAAAACTTTGGGATATAGTCGTCCGATTTGTATAAAACTGTTAATATTGTTTTAAAAACTTACATAATTGCTATTTCTAAAGTTATGTGCATTTATCTCCAAAAACAGCAAAGTTAATTTGATCGTTTCTATGGCAGCTATATGATATAGTTTTCCGATCCGGATGATTATCATATATAATATGCGGGGGGATAAGAAATGGCGACTGGTAAAGTTTCAAGTCACTATCTTTTGAAATGACCGAGTTATTAATTTCGGCCAACAAAAGTGGTCAAATGCCCCATAGTGCTATGCTTTGATAAAAAACTTAAATCACTTGCTCCTCATTTTCGAACTTAAAATTGCATTTCAAAATGAGCAGACTTGCGTCAATTTTTTAATTACTCCAAATTTGGAGAATTCGAAAATTCCAACAACAATTTTTTTTCAGCCCAAAAGTATCCATATTTTTTTAGTTTTGCAGCGGTTTGAGGCTTAGCTAGACCCATCCAGAATACCGAGCATGTCAAACTGTCTTATCGGAAGGGGCGGTTTCACAATAATTCGAATTAATATATTAAGCATTAACAATTCCATTCTTAAGTAATAGCGACGAGCTGCTTTAAAAGTCGACTACGAAATATAAGAAAGGAGTTAAAGTTACTTAGGTTATATTTCATAATTTCTACAGTTGAAAACTTGTACATCCTTTGACCTATAAAATCATTATACCCTTGTAGAGGGTATTATTATACCCTTGTAGAGGGTATTATAATTTCAGTCAGATGTTTGCAACGCAGTGAAGGAGACGTTTCCGACCACATAAAGTATATATATTCTTGATCAGCATCACTAGACGAGTCGATCTAGCCATGTCCGTCTGTCCGTCGGTCCGTCTGTCCGTCTGTCCGTTTCTATGCAAACTAGTCTCTCAGTTTTAAAGATATCGCGATGAAACTTTCCCGAAAGTCTTCTTTCTATTGCAGGTAGTACATATGTCGGAGCGAGCCCAATCGGACCACTATATCTTAAGGCTCCCATAGGAATATTCAAAGATATATAAGAAAATTCATTGTTTTGTAGGAAGTTGGCGTTTTATTTCTTGACTCTTTAAAAACAAAATTCAAAAATAGAAACGCTGAATCTGAAATCCCTGGAACAGCATCGAGTGAGCATTACTTTATCTGCAAGGGTATATAAGCTTCGGCTGGCCGAAGGTAGCTTCCTTTCTTGTTTTTTGGTTCAACTTAAAGTTCCAAAAATCCTCGATCCCTTTTTAGAAATTTAAAAGTTACCAAATATTTTCGGTGGTCCGAGGGGGCTTCAAGTATCCTTCCGTAGTACTTTGTATTTATGTTTCGAATTCCAAAGGTTTTGTTTGTTCAAAATTAAATACAATTTAAATTGAAGAGAAAACGTCTGCTGCGTTTGAAATGAATTTCTAGAGTAACCTCATATATTGTTCAAAATCCACCCATTTATTAAAATAATGTATGTATAATTTTTGCTTGTAAATAAAGTATTGTGTAAAATTTAAAAATGTAGCCTTGTGTATCATTCACTAAGCTTTTTATATTATTCTCTAAATACGGGAAAACGTACAGTTTTGTATTACAAGGAGCCGGAGTCTTTCAAATATAGAATTTAATATTTGTATATGATATTTTTAGTCAGTTTAATTAATATATAAATAAAACATTTTTTGAAGTAATGTTCTTTATTGACAAAAACAATAGTACAAAAAAATCAAATAAATAAAATTGAATACAACATTTTTGGATTTTTGTGTATCAAAGTGTTTATTTATCTACTAAAATGTAAACAGACAAACATTCCAAGCAAATAAACTAACAAAGGAAATAAAACGCAAATGTGAGTGTGCCATTAAATTAATGTTCAATTATCACCGAATTTAAAAATCATTTGTATTAATTAGCTATGAAAAACAAGGGCAATAAAGAAAATACATATAAAATATTGAAAATCTGAAATCATTTTCGTTTACTCGATACCTTCGCCCACATGATTTAAACGGATGGGATGGGCTTCACCGAGCCGAATAAATTAAGGTGTCCGCGGCAACGAGACAGCCATTATTGTTTCCGATTCATTTGAGGCAGACACCGTGGGCCCAGTCGAAAGCTGTTCAAACTGTAACGCCTCGTAACGCCTGGTGTCGAAAGGCTGAAGTAATGCGGCGTCAAAGTAAAATATAAACAAAAAAAACGACACGAAAAACACTGAAGATGTCAAGTGGATGGGAATCTGCATGACAGCTGTGAGAATTCTCAGCCAGAGTGACAAGTAAAAGGCGTGGCCTTGAGCCTCGTTTACGGTTCCTTCACCCAGCACCACCCCCTTCAATTTAATTCCATATGAGCAGATTCATATACGCCTTGCTTCAACGACTTTCAATAAAATGATGCTGTTTTTTCGTTTTTTTTTTTTGAGAAATTTCACAAATCATTGATATTTATTAGAGCCGCACACGAGCTCACTCTAATCTCATCACTCATCCCTATCCCCAGAGTTACCCCCACTCCCACTTACTATATAGTATATTCCATCGTCAATGAAAATTAATATATATATTACGCCAAAAACAGCTGGTCTTTGTTTACTATATTTTTGATGATACAATGCGCAGGCGTCGATTGCCGGCTAGAAAGCCTTCCACTTCCAGTTCGAAAGTACTTCGAAAACTGGAAGACTGGAAGGAGGGGAAATTCGAAGTGCCGAACACTTTGGCGCCAAATCAACATCGTCCGCCGGAATTTCCTCGCATTCGGAAAACAGAGCGCGTGAAAGGATGGTTCAAAATGCGGATCAAAAATAGCGGTGTGTGAAAAATTAACAAAAACAATAGTTAAAAAAAATCAAATAAATAAAATTGAAAACAACATTTTTGGATTTTTGTGTATCAATACATAAAAGTGTTTATTTATCTACTAAAATGTAAACAGTGAAACATTCCAAACAAATAAACTAACAGAGGAAATAAGACGCAAATGTGAGTGTGCCATTAAATTAATGTTCAATTATCACCGAATTAAAAAATCATTTGTATTAATTGGCCCTGAAAAACAAGAGCAATAAAGAAAATATAAAAAATAGCAAAAGCTAATGGCTTGTGTAATTTGAATAAAATAAGCAAATAAATTTGCTCTGTTCAAATTTCTAAAAAAAAATGCTTTAAGCAGGAACAAAAGAAAATATTTTCATTGCCAATTTAAACAAAGGAGTACTAAGTAATTAGTTGATGTTAGATACCTCTTTTCCACGAAGCCGTATTTTATTTGATTTTTCAATCTCTTTTGGGTACCGATTTAATTAATCATTTTCGACCATTTTGTCAAATATGACCGTAATTGGGTTCCCAGAACTTTTTGTTTTGCATTTTTCCGGTGGACCCACAAAGGGTTCCGTTTGATGACAAATTGATTTTATTTTCCCTCTTCAAATTAAATATGATGAGGCATAAATTTCAGAATGCCAAGGTTAATCAAAACAAGTGGTTTGCATTTCGTTGTGAGAATCCTGATGCTTTATAGGCGAATTCATAGAAAAACATTCATCAGAATTCAACAAAGCCGTTTACCATGTTAGTTTTTCGCATTCTTCCGAGAATTGTGAACCAGCATTTTACTTTAATGA